AAACTTGGCCGCTTTAAGACGTGTGGACTTCCATTCCCAGAATTCCCTAGCCAGCTTGGCCGCTTTTAATACTTGTGGACTTCCATTCCCAGAATCCCCCAGAAACTGGGCCACTTTAAGACGTGTGGACTTCAACTCCCAGAATTCCCCAGCCAGTTTTGGGAATTCTGGGAATGGAAGTCCATAGGTCTTAAAAGTGGCCAAGCTTCGCCCCCTGCGCAGTAAAGTCTAGCCAGACCTTCAGAGAGCAGCCACCGACTGTAGAAATGTCCCTTTAGGAACTCCAACAAGTCCCAGCAAGAGCTGCTGCTGGACCTGATGTGGTCCATCTGGCCAGAGCTGCCGGCCTACGGGCGGAAGGCTGCCCAGTTTGTGGATCTCCTGGGCTACTTCTCCCTGAAAACCCAGCAGACGGAGAAAAAGGTAAGAGCTTGGAATGGCCTCTTCTGCCGTTCCCTCCTTATTCCCAGCACTGCCACTGTTTCTGCTGGTGGAGGCTGGGAAACTCCCGTGCCCATTCCAAGTGCTGAAAACAACTTGGGAGGTTTGCCCCAAGACCCATCTTAAGGGGAGGGGGGCATTTCTGTGTGATTCAACAGCCACCCTTGTAAGGTAGGCTAGGTCAAAAGAGCCAAGAGTCAGCTGGTGTAGTCAGAGCTCGGGTGTCCATCTTGCTTGCCCTGTTTGTACGGGAGGGTAACTCACCTTCCCAGGTGTTAAAACCTGAGAAGAAATGCTCCCCCCCCCCCTTTTTTTTTTATTTTACTTGGAACCTCGACTTCTCCGGGGATGTAAGAAGCCACCTCGAGCCATTTAAGGACCATTGTCTGTAGCTCACCTGAGAGTTTGCTTTATGGAACCTCCTCTGGTGTCCCGGGCTGGATTCTCCTCTGATTTTTTGTGTTGGGGGACTCTTGTTTCAGTTCAAGGAATACTCCCAGAAGGCAGTGGAGATTCTCCGGATGCAGAACCACATCCTCACCAATCACCCCAACTCCAACATCTACAAGTGAGGGTTGCTTGGCACGATTCAGAGCCCGGGGGTGGGTGGGTGGGGGGCGAGCTGGAAGGGGACAGGTGGGGACGGGTGGGGATGAGGGTGCTTCTTGTTGGGAGGTGAGAGGGGGAGCACTTGGCTGGCTGCCCAAATTAACTTCGCAGTGCCTGGACATTCATAATCTTTTAACAACCCCATAATCCCTCACGGGGTGGAATCTTGGGGAGCTGAATGGAGCTGAGTGTTTACTGGCCGGATACCTTTCCTGTTGTCAGTGCGGAGTTTTGTTCAGCAGTTATATTCTCACTGTGCCCAGGATTGAACTCATAGCCTCCCGATTGTGAGCTCCACCTCTAGGCCATTGCACCGTTCAGTGTGCTGTGCCCAGAAATGGTTCCAGATTCATTCCAAGCAGCCCTTTTTTTAGCGTGTGACCCACGTGAGACATCGTGGGTTGCCTTACTTAACTATATTTCACGCATGGCGAGGAAATTAAATTCAGGGTTGTTGTTTTTTTGCGCTGGTCCTGCTTGGGAATTAGAAGGGAAAAGCGGGCAGCCAGCTGGGACTTTGACCCGAACAGACTAAATCAGCTGTCTTCCTCTTCCTCTTCATCCCAGCACACTCTCTGGCCTGGTGGAGTTTGATGGCTACTATTTAGAGAGCGACCCCTGCCTCGTTTGCAACAACCCCGAAGTGCCTTTCTGCGTAAGTAAGATCCCTCCCCTCTCCCTGTGCTTTCCAGCCCTGCCCGGCCTCTTGGGGTCAACTCGTAAAGCATTCCCGGCTTGCTTTTTTGAGTTGCCATAAGAAGGAGCGGAGGGGGATCTGACGGAGCAGTTCACTTGCTATGAGCAGAAGCACATTCCGCGCATAGCTTTCTCCAGATTGTGTCCCGGGTTACCAGAGACAAACTGGGAGACAGCCGGGGAAAGTGCTCTTATTGGAGAATGTGATTTATGACACACCCTGGGAGGAGGGGGGGGGGAAACAGGGTCATAGGTGGGCGGTAAATTACGCAGGGCAGAGCAAAAAGGGCAGACAGGTTGTTCCTGATAAATAATCGGGATTTCTTTCGAAACTTGGCTCGAGTCTCATGAATTAAATTACATCCCTCGGAGCCCTAACGCTCGGCCTCTTCCGGCCCGTCTCTCTCTCTCCTCCCTCTCTCTCCCTTTTTCTCCTAGTACATCAAGCTCTCCTCCATCAAGGTGGACACCCGCTACACCACCACCCAGCAGGTGGTCAAGCTGATCGGCAGCCACACCATCAGCAAAGTGACGGTCAAGATCGGAGACCTGAAGCGCACCAAGATGGTCCGGACCATCAACCTCTACTACAACAACCGGACCGTGCAGGCCATCGTGGAGCTGAAGAACAAGTAAGGGTGCACCAGCAGTGGGATCCTGGCCTGTTCCGTTACTGGTTCGTTGACTGCGCGTGTGCGCACCTCATGCACATGCGCCTGACGCGCTCGTGCAGCTTTCCACACACCAGCTGAGGCACGCAGCAGTGGTGGGATTCAAATTTTTTTTTTTCTACTACCGGTTCTGTGGGCGTGGCTTGGTGGGCGTGGCAGGGGAAGGATATACTGCCAAATCCCCCTTCCCTCCCCCACCCCACTAACCTGCTTTCCAGCTCCGTTCTCCTGGGCAGGGCAACCCAAGGAGACCCAGCCGATCAGCTGGGACTCGTTGGGAGGCAGAGAAGAGATATGGGGTTGGCGGAGCCAGTCAGAGGTGGGATTTGTTGGTTCTCCGGACGACTCAAAATTTCCGCTCCCTGTTCTCCAGAAGAGGATAAAGAAGAGAAAGGGGGCGGTGGGTGGGCCGATCCTGCGCTTTTCTCTTCTTTCTGCTCTCAGCTGAGGATCAGAGGCTTTTGGTACCGGTTCTGGTGAACTGGGCTGAACCAGTAGCATACAACCACTGGGGTGCACCAAAGTCACAAGAGGCAGCACAGAATCTCCAGCTGGTTTTAAGAGTATCCTTCACTCTTGTCTTTAAAAGTTTTAGGTTCAAGTCTTGTTTTTCAATTTTTTTCATTTTAACTTTGAACACCACCACGAGTCCCTTTGTGAGGGAAACGGGTGGTTTCTAAAAGAGAGAAAGAGATGGATATAGATATGGATTATAGATGGATAATGGATAGATTGATAGATATAGATGATTAGATAGATAACGGATGGATGGATATAGATAGATAGATAGATAGATAGATAGATAGATAGATAGATGGATGGATGGATGGATGGATGGATGGATGGATGGATGGATGGATGGAT